TTTTTTTTTTTTTTTTTTGTCCACTTATTTTTCAATTTTTTTTTTTAAATAAATCACCCTATATTTCATTCTTTTAAAAAATATAGCTATATTTCACTTTTTCTTTTGATTAAATGCTATAAAGGGGCATTACCACATTTTAAAACTCGTTCCTATACAGAAACCCTCAATTTTAAGTTGTCTTAAAAAACCGTATAATTAACTATCTCATAAATTTGGGAGTATTAGAATATCTATCTCTATCTATATATATATATAATAAGAATTACTATTTACCAAAAATAGTAAGCAAAAAAATTTGACAAAATTAATTGCATACCATTTCGGGCAAGTTTTGTTTTTATTTTTTATTTATTAAATAAGAAACATTTAAATATGCCTTCAATCACAGATAATTAGTTTTGGTAACCAAATTGCTCAATTTTGGTACAAATAATGCTTTTAAAAATTTGAGTTTTATTTTAGTACCAATCATTTTTAAAATTAATTGATATCAACATTCATTACTTTGGACAAAAAAAACTTGCAAGTTCATAACCCATAATAATTGTGTGCAATTCATCAAAATCAATGATATTACATAATTAAATGCATATTTGTATGTTTTCAGCTGAGTTGAGTTTTAAAAAAAAATCATTTGGATGCCAAAAAATTTTGTGTAACAAAATAATTTTGCCGATAAAAAAAATAACAAATCTACCGACACACACTCAAATTCTAAGAGTTCTTTTGACTAACCGTAAACACCCAAAAAATCCGAACATAAAAGTACAAAAATTGAACATACAAACCTTAAAATTAAAAATTTCACATTTTTTTTCGGGCAAAACAACTAAAATTAACAAAATCTACCGGCGCACACTCAAATTCGAAGGATTCTTTGATTAATTTTAAAAACCAAAAAATTCAAACATAAAACTACAAAAATCAAAAATAAAAACCCTAAAGTTGAACAATCTATATTTTATTTCGTGCAAAACACCTAAAACTAATTTAAAGCATCGATTAAATGAAAACTGAAAAAGAATATGTATTTATAAGATCATCAGTGTTAGGACCGAAAAGTTGGAAAAAGATCGAAGAAAAAAGACGAAAGAAGAAGCTGGAAGCGGCGAAAAAAATGAAGGAAGAAATGAAGTCCTTGGTCGATAGTTTTACTATTTATACTATGTTCAGTATAATCTAAACCGTCGATTTGCGTTGACTAATCTGGATCATTAGATTATTTTTTCTTTGTTTGGACCGATATGAACTTTCGAAGCCAACATTATAAATTGGGCCGATATGAACATTTTGAAGTTCACATTTTTCAAAAATATTCCTATTGTACAAGCCCAACATGATTAATATAAATAATTACACGTATTTTATAATAAGTATTTGTTAGGTTTAATTATAATCAATGATCGGTGCTGTATTATATAATTTAAATTTAAATACAAAATAGCTTTTTAAAAAAGACGAAAATAATAAAGCCCCGTGCATTCGCACGGGTACTGTACTAGTTTAAATTAAATATACCTAATATTATAGCTAATATTTAAGATATCAATAATTTTTTGAAAAATGTTGCCACAAAATGTTTGCCAATGCGATGGCTTTGGCACCTATATTTTAAACCCCTAATTCCTAAACCCTAACACCTCCATATCTTCTTCATCCTCTCGCTTCCACAGCAAACAAGCATTGTCTCAGAGAAGTAAAAACCTGAAACCATGAAGGAACATAATACTGCAAAAGTCCCGGTGTGGGATTTGCCTGATGTCCCAAAGGGAACTTTGCCCTCGCACCTCCAACTTCAGAGGACTCGTGTTCACTGTAATTTCGATGCGCCTACACATGTAATTCATTTTTCCCTTCACTGAATCCTATACTTTTTATTTTCGGATTTCCTTTTTCTTTTGAAGCAGGATTTTTTTTCTTTCAGTTGCTAGTTGGGTTTTTACATTTCTCTTATGTTTGCTTTTTCTATTTTGGAAACGAAGACGGAGAGTATTGCATACTCGGGTGCCTTTACCGCAATGGGAGTGGATAACAGTTTGAGACTGGAGGAATTTCGCAATAAATTCAGGGTGGAAGTAGTTAGACTCACAGAAGATGACATGGAATTTGATATGATTGGAATTGATGCTGCTATTGCCAATGCTTTCCGAAGAATTCTCATAGCTGAGGTGCTACTCTCCCTCTCTATCTCATGTGAATGTCTTCTGTT